GGGGATTGGTATTGGGGAGAGTCGGGTTCAATATTTGTTTTGTATATATTTGCATATATTTCATTATTTTCTTGTTTCCTTAAAGCTGTTCAAAAGTTTTCTTTTCCAATTCACAAGTCCCTGCCTTATTCCCTTTTCCCTTCCCTTTTAGGAGGGGAGAGGGGTTATTAAAGAGCACCTGTCAGTTGTTTAGTGGGTGGCCCAGCCTTAACCCTTGACAGGAGGACAGAATATAGATGTTAAATTTGATTTGTTTTTTTTTAAGGGCTACTTCCATAACGATTTTAATCAGTGTGTTTTTGTTGTTCTGGACACAGGTTTTAGACCTGCAGCAAGTTTTTCTGTGCTTTCAGTGTTCACTGTCTCTTCTGATATTGACAGATGACCAATACTGATACTTGAAATGCTGCATTTTAGCAGCATCTTCCCCTGGGGATTCCTTCATCACCCTCCTGCCTACCCCTGTGAAGTCGTGTCAGACAGGCACCCCCTCCAAGACGGGGCAGGGATCCCTCTTGCTTCACCCCTTGCTGCCATTCCGAAAATAATACAGGGAGGCTTCAGACGGGGGATGGCCTGAAGTCCCGAGTCAAGGCTGAAATTGCTGGGTTTAGTGCATTGTTAGTGTGGTGTTTGACTGACTGGCTTATTTGCAGTGCTTAAAAGGGTCTCCCAACTTTATTTGCAAAAGCCCATGAATGGCAAATTATGAAAAAAGTGGCCTTTAAAATCCAGCTGCAAATGATTAGACAAAACACTAGAAGTAGCTAGGTAGTGCTGTCTATTCTGTCTGCAGGGCGGTTAGAAGGATTTGCCTGACCTACTCTTAATGCACAGCAATTATTTTCTTGCCAGTGCCTCTGTAAATTATCTGACAGCAAACCTGAGCTTTGCCCTGCTTAATGTGCATCCAGTGTACATCCAGCACGTCTGGGCAAGAGCTGAATCAAAACCGGGGAGTGGGTGGATTGTTTGCCTGGAGCTTGGAAGGCTCTCGGTGATGCACCCACCACCTCTAAAATGTGGGAAATTGAAGGAAGTTACCTGGGTCTCTCCATTTGTAATGATGTCCCTTGGGGACAAACTGTGCCGTGGGGGTGACCTGACAAAACTCAAACATTGTTTCTGTTGTTAGCCCCAAATGACTGGCGCTGGATGATGCTCTATGGAGATGCTGCTTCTCTTGTCCATGGACGTGGCAGTGTGAGGAGCCAGTGAGGCCGTGCCTCTAAAACTGGCTCCGGGAGCATTGTCTTGTCTTGCTGCCCCTGACAGGCAGCGAGCGGAGAGGGCAGCCTGCTGCTCAGTGCTAAGTGAGTCCAAGTGCCAATTCCTTTACTTTACCAAACCTGTAGTTCTTTTATAAACCCTTTAACAGAAAGCTGCTGGCAAAGTGCATTCAACAAAGGTTCTCGCAGTCTTTTGCGGTCTCCTTTGGATTTTGTGTCCTTAGGGACTGAAGAACCTCCCTGGTGTGGGGGTTCTGATGCTGCTCTCCCCTGCCAAAGCACTCTCAGCGCTGGTCCCCACTCTGCTGCTGCTGCTTTCCTGAAGAGCTGTTTACTTGCATCATTAAAAAAATATATAAATCTAATAAGTGGAAATGGCAAGCTGAGGCTGCAGCAGAAACAGGGCATTAAATCTGCTCACAGACAGCTCGGCAGGAGGGGACGTTTCCGTGTCTGCCTTTGCCAGTGATTCACCCTGGGAGCAAACGGAAGCTAAAGGGGTCAAAGCAGACTGGAGGGGGGGAAGGACAGGAGAGATGCTAAAGAGAAGCCTTTCTGCACAGTGTGGTAGGGGAAGCAGATCAAACCTGGAGGAGAGCATGTATTAACCAAAATTCATTCAGTGATTACTGCTCAGAGTGAAAAATGTGATTTCTTTCACCAGAACAGCAGAGAAAACAGTGCTGGGCTATAAGGGGTTGCATTGTAATCTTAAGCCAAACGAGGCTAGAAGAGTGGCAAGAAATAAGGTGAGCATGAAGAAACTGAAAGAAGCCGTTTGATCAGGGAGGTCAGAGGGTTGGAAAGAGAAAAGCTTGGCTGCTTAAGCCTTGTTTTATTTGCACTAGGGTGTCTATTAACATGCCCTTTGGAAAGGTGGTGGCAGCCAGTGCTGGGAGGGGACATCCCAGGCAATCCTGGGGTGGAGTATGCACTGCAGTTTGGTGGGGGTGGGAGGGAAGCGATACGTGCAGGGACAGATCACCCTCAGCCTCACTGGAGCGTTCCCAGGGAGCTTGGCTGCCCCTCCCTGCTCCCCAGCTGGAGACTATATTGGAGACATTTTCCACAAGAATGGCAAAGGAACGCGTGTCCGCTGCTCTTTTGACAATGCTTCAGTGCCTGCCAACAAAGGATGAAGATGTTAAAACATTACAAGGAAATGGATCTTGCAAATGTTTCTGACATGCCCTAACCTTTCCAATATGTGGCTTCTTAACAGTAACAGTGATTTATTTCTACAAAAGCCCTGCATGGCACCAATTCTCTGCTGTGAAGGATTGCAGCTTCCAGAGGTCTCGATTCTGGAAGAGCTCTAAGCAACTGAAAAAAAAGGGTTTAACAAGATGAAGCGTGTGTGGCAACATTAGCTGTGACAGCATTGCCAGCTTTGCAGCTGCTGATAAATCTCAAATGCATTTCCCATCACAGCAAGCCTCCGGAGGCTCCTCAGGGGTGTGCCTTTCTCCTGAACGCCTGGGTGATGCCTTGCATGACTCAGCCTCGGTGGTGCCGTCAGAGCACATTTGGTTTTGCAGGAGTGATGTGCTGGGATGAGCTCTATTTGTTATCCGGTGGGTCAGTTTGTCCTCTGAGCAAAAAAAACCTGAGCAACGCTTGGCTGTGTGTGTCCATATTAGGGGGGGGTGTTAAGGAGAAGCGTGTACCCACGTAGCTGTGTTGAGGAAATGAGCCCAACCTGTGCTTTCTTTTCCAGCTGGATTTTCAAACATCCAGTGCAGCCTTAACAACAGGTAGCTGGAGAGGAGGGACTTGGTAACAGCTATGGAAGCCCTTGCTCTCATCTCCTTTGGTGAACTTCCCTGTAAAACTTATTTTAAGTGTTTCTTCCATGTGCAATTTTTAATTAAAAGCTCTCTGTTGAAAAGGTCAGGACAGCTTGACTCTCTGCTGCCCACATGCCCGCAGCAGTGAGAGCAAGTGGCCGTACGCAAAATTCCTCCTGCCCTGGAAAGCAAGTGCTGGGGATCCTCTCTACCTGAAATAACAAATGGCAGCAGTGACAACCTGTCCCTGCATCCTGGTCCTGCCACGTGCCTTGTGAGTTATCACTATGGTCATCCCTGTACTGGCTGGCTTTATAAACAACACGCAGCTCCTCACTGTGCTGATCTTCTCAGCCTTTTTCTCCTTAGCACTGCTTTACCTGCTTCTCCCCAGAGCTTAAGATCTTATTTTTAAACAGCACAGGCAATGTGCTTTTGCACTTTTACCATATGGGTGCCAGTGAACTGTCAGATGCACCAAAACCTACTTCATTTCATTCTCTGGGGCCACGTGCATGTGACAAGCTCTGGATCGCCCATCTTCTCAGTCCTCGTGCTTGGACGCTGCAATTGCATCACTGACAGGCACCTTCTTTGCAGAAGAGAATTTTACTTGGAATGCTGTTGTCAGCCACCGTAATTGTTTGTGGATTCAGGTGAAACTTTCAAACACGAATGTTCTGGTTTATTTAATTTGTGGAAGTATGAACTGAGTCACAGACCACAAAATATTTTAGGAGCACGCGAAAGAGCACAGCTGTTACCACGTACCTGTCATGAGTGCGCTGGAATCTTTGTGATTCAGTACCAAAGTGGCTTCCTTACCCCTCAAAGCTGAGAAAGCAGGCTGCATTAAGAGATCAATGAGTTTCATCTGCTGGCTTCTCCTTTCAAACCAAAATAGTAAATTTACAGAGAAACCTATCTGACTACAGAGAGGCTTTTCACAAAATCCATGGTTGGCTCACGCCTAGAATTTTATTCAATCCATTCAAAAAAATAGACAGAACTGTCAGGTGGCACATATTGTCAGAGTACAAATGTCACATCTTTATACAGTTTAATTTAAATCCATTGATTGAGACAGTGAAATAATTGCCCTGGGTAGGAAAATAATTAAGGGTCTTTCATGAAAGGACAACTCTTCAGGTAAGCATTTACACAAATGTATTTGGTGCAGCATAACTTTTTCTATCCTCTATAAAAATATAAACAGCGTTTTGAAATGCCTTTAGGTAAGTATTTTAAGGTCATCTTAACATGGCATTAACTTACTGATGGAATACGGGGCCTGGGCACTTCAAACCACTTTTTTTTAGAGGAATCCACACCCAGCCAGAACTAAAATGTTTTGTGTGAGCTTGAAACAATGTAATGAAAGAAACAATATCTAAACCACACACACAAGCGTGATGCTCCTCCTCTCAAATGGACTCCTTATCTTTATTTTGTATTGTCTCTGGTAATACGGCAATGACATAAGTGGCAGTTCTGCACCAGTTAATCATAACTTGGCATCAAGTATAACTTGCCCTTCCCAGCAAGTAACATCGCTGGGGAGTGACAGTGACACGCACTGGGATCAGATCAAGGGCTCTCGCTTGACCTGTGCAGGGTCACTGGTACAGACTGTCCCGCGTAACAGGAGGACAAGTGCAAGTTACAAGGCCAGAATCTTGGCTTCCCAGACAGCAGAACCAGGTGGTAAGACTAAGGAATACTTTAAGGGCAAGAAGAAAATGGAACAAAAAGCCAACTCATCTAAACTTTAAACAGCTGTCATAAATGCACCCTGTGTCTTCCAGGGACGCGGTATGATAAGCGAAACACCTAATCATCGTTACAAGGACTTACTGGTTCAACACAGATTAAAATGTTCGACTACACTGAATATATTGGTCACAGGTCTAATCCCGTAGTTTCCCTTTTCCCCAATCCTAAATTCGTATTGGAGCAGCTTCCCCGTCGGCCGTGTGCTCAAGTAGCAGAGCACTCGATGTTGTGACCAACTAGCACATACACCAACAACAGCTGATACTTTTCCAGTTAAAGTGATCTACAAGTGAGAAACAAAACCTAAGGAACGGGTCAGGTTTCAGGTAAAGGTTGCACATTTTGAACTTTGGACAAACTGACGGGTATCTTAGACTCTCCTGGCGCAGGTGCTTTTGTAATAGGGTTTGCGTGGGGTTTTATATCAGCTATCCTCTCCTTAAATCTTTGCTGGAGGTACTTTTCTTCTTTGGAGTGACTTTTCACCAGAGCAGACATCAGCAGACACACTGCCACAGTGGAGCCTCCAAGGCAAAACAAGATCGCTCCTGCCAGCTTACATATATCGAGGGACCCATTAAACCGAATTGCACGGGTATCCACCACCACAAAATCATCTTTCCCCAAAGCTTCGATTTTCGGTGGTACAAGAAAACCCACTACAAGAACCATTAAACCGATCAGCATGAAAGCCATCCCAGAGATGAGTCCAACCTGGAAAACAAACAAACCAACCCAATTAATACACCTTTCTGGTTTTGAGCTGGTAAGTGGTTCTAGGAGGCAGTTAGCTTTCACAGTGCCTTGCAGGTACAGCTCTCTCTTCTAGGAGAAAGCTAGTATTTTTCTTTTAGGTCATAAGTGGCCCCGCTAGAACTAGAATATATGGATAAACCGTCTTTTTACAACTCACGTTTAAATAATTCAGCATTGACATTTGTGGAATATGTGTCAATATGTCTAAATAACACTTCACATCCAAAGGCCCCAGTACAGAGAGGATCCCCGTTCAGCCCCAGTGCTGTGCAACTGATTAGTTCTGTAGCTCTAAGGGGAGGTTCAGCCCCCGCTGACAGTCTGTGTCATATCCACCACCTGCTTTTACCCTGTGAAATGTCACTCTGTGGTGGGGACTAGAAGGAAGTTGCCATCACTGTGTACAAATCGCAGAGTATTTCTAGCACATTTTGAACACATGCGCAAGCTTTGGCTCGTGCCTCACCGCCAAAGCAGAGGGGTGGGATGAGGTGGCCTCACTGGCCCCCTTCAACCTCTGGTGTACTCCAGGTCTGTCACATTCCCTGACTGGAGTGGAAGAATACCTAAACCCATTAGTTAATGGGAAAGTCCCAAAATGGGAGTTTCTCTCCCCAGTAAACTGAAGAAGGGCAGTACCTTCCAGAGCGTAGAGCTCCACCTACTAGGTGATCTCTGGATCTGGAAATCATCCTCATACTCCCAAATTGAAGCTGTGCAGTCTTCATAAAACTGATGCAGGTAGGACCGAACTCCATAGCGTTGGTACCCTCCTTCAGTGCTGCCCTGCACGTGCTTGGACCTGCAGATGTTGGCACAGGAGCTCATCCTTCCTACCTGCAATAAGACCGTTATCGATATGGCATGAGAGAATAGGTGGCTATAAACTCTCTGGATGATATGGAGAAGGAAAAAAAAAAAAAGAGACCTTTCTTTCATTTTCTTCCCAAACTGAGAAAGGAGCCTAGCAGAGTCACAGGCAGTGACTTAGCTCAAACAAACCTGAGGCACTCGGAGGAAAGGTGCTGCAGGGAATGTTCCCTCCCGTGGTGCCCACTCCCCATCTTTTGTGCCAGCTGCTGCTACATTTCCGTGGAGACTGAAAAACAGCAGAATGTATTGGGTAACGGAAGCCAGCAGCCCTCAAGGGCTCATGTTGCCTCTCGTGCAGGTGGCTTCTATCAGTTCACTGGAGTCTGCAGCTTTAGGAACTTCCCCAGCTTGGGGAAGTTGGGTTAGGTTTGGTTGGTTCGTTGGTTTTGTCCAAGCTTTTGAAGTGCAGAACTAAGTGTTGGTATAACATTCATAGCCCTGAGAAACAGAGGTAAAGTAAGTTCTACACAGATTGAGACTGTAATATACCCTGTAGTTAAATATGGACAACTGAAAAAAATGGAATGCCGTAACAGCACCCATCTGCCCACGGGAGAGACTGAAATGGGAATACCGAACTTGTGGCAAACTGCTGCTCCCTTGGAGAAGTCAATGCCTAAGATCCTGCTGACTTCAATAATATCAGAATTTTGCCTGCTATGAAACATTCCCTACCCCTTGCACCTCAGGGAAGTTCTCCTAACACAAAAAACCTGCATTTAACTATGCAGGTCCCAGGCCTGAACTTGCTTGCACAGGTGTGATGTGGCCTGCCTTGGAGTCACTGCATCGTCTGTAGGTTTAGTCAAGAGAGAGAAAGGAGGCGTAGTGTTTCTAACAGAACCACAAAGCCTGGAATCACTTGTATTACACATAGCATTTTGGATTGCTAAAGAAAATGAATCTAACAGGTGGAGTGTGGTCAGGCATGTAAGCAAAATGATAAATTTAGAGCTGGAAGGCAGAACAGAAAACAGAAGAATGATCTTTTGCTTGAAAGAGTTCTGACAGCATCAAGATGCATGACCTTTCAAAATGAAAAAAAGTAGAGGACTACCATAGAATCACAAAATATTGGGGGGTTAGAAGGGACCTCTAGAGACCATGCAGTTCAACTCCTTGCCAGAGCAGGATCCCTCAGGGCAGCCACACAGGAACACGTCCAGGCAGGTTTGAAAGTCTCCAGAGCGGGAGACTCCTGGGCCAGGGCTCCGGCACCCTCATAGGAAAGAAATTTCTCCTCATGTTGAGGTGGAACTTCCGATGTTCTAGCTTACACCCATTATTCCTTGTTCTATTGCTGCATACCACTGAGAAGAGATTGTCATTAATTCTTTTCAAACACCACATAATATTAGTCGTACTGAAAGTTTTGTTTATGCTGAGGCTCTCCCACCTAGTAGCAACCTTATCTCTCAGAAAGAAGGCTGGCCCAGCCCTATATGACTCACTGAAGCAGCCTGGTAATTTGGCCTAAATGGTGACTTTTTCCCAGCTGCAACATAAGCATAACATTGTTGTTCTCACTACTTACAGACGGGGCAGAGAATCTGAAGCGGAGTATGGTGGGAGAAAACAGTTCTCCATACATAAGCAGGAAATGTGTGTCACAGCATGAATTTACTTGGATGAATAAATCCTGCGGTAGCTCTGATCTCTGGTGTGCTGACGTCTATTTGCATATCTCACCTTCATGGCGGAAACTAAATGCTGAAATGTAGGGAACCTTTTGCCAAAAAGAGAGTGGCTGTTACCCGAATCACGCAGAGGCTCAGAACATGCACCAGGGCTGCGGGAAGTGGTTTAATCATTAAAAAGAAAGTTTTCCAGTGCCTGAACCCGAAGTGCCTGGGAACATGTGGGATGCATGATCATGGCTCTGGAGCGCACCACTGCGTAGCAGCAACCCGCCCCCTAGCAACTTTTGTTTCCATGGCAAAAGCCGTCGTGTTTACTTTGAGCTTTACTACTCCGGGCCGGGGAACGGGCAGATTGAAAGATGAGCAAGCTGTGAGAAAAATTACCCCAGGAATTTTCCAGCTGCTTTTGCTTTCTCATCAAGGGCTTGCGCATATTTTAAAAAACCAAACCAAAACAAAAAAACCTGCCGGCTGGAAAGCAGGTCAACTCGAAGAAGGAG